AGGTTACCACTAAGTTATTATTATGTTATGCAATTTCCATTAAATTATGATAGACTATTTATAATTAATAAACTATTTAATAAGAGAATATAGTTTATATAATTTATTGTATTTATTTATTTATTTTTTAATAGTGCTTAATACATTAGAATATGATTTTTATTAATATATATTAATATCTGATTTATATTTAAGAGGCTTTTACATATTTTATACAGATTATTCTTAGTACTGTACCTTATATCTAATATTTAAAATTTTTATTACTTAAAAATTTTTTTATAATAAGATCTGTGGGTCTATAGTACAGTGGTTAGTACTCTGCAGGTCAGATGACAAGATACCAGTTCAACTCCAAGTGAAGGCAATTAAATAGAACAAAAAATAATATCTGGCACCATAACTTAACATGTACTGTTTCTCATAAGAAGCCAATTTACATGTTGATCCAATGGACATTGAGATTGTGACTTCCCATATAAGGAGCAGTGATATATAATCGTCCAGTTGGCGTTACAATGATTATTGTCAAGTTTGGTACAATTCTTAGTTTCACAATAGGCTGCCTCCCTCTCCTTATAGTCCACAAGATTATAAAAGAAATACAAGATTTTTTAGAATCTAACTAGAGCTGCAAGGATCTTTGCTAGATATAGTTAGCCTATAGCTAATCATATTAGAATATGGTTCTTCGAGTTTCTATTCATCAGATAATGGATAGGACTAAAAGGCACACATCCTGGCACATTAGCTCATCACTTATGCTATCAGGGCTCCAGTGTTGATAATATAGGAGAATGGAAAGCAATAAGCTGACTGATAAGTAAAGTCATAAGAACTTTCTTTAGGTAGTTTTATTAGATAGATAAGTAGTAGTCAGTTTCTATAAAGGGAATATATATGTACTATTAATTCATATTTAATAAAACAAGGTATATGCCAGTCATTAAAAAAAAAATTTTTTTTATAATATTAAAGAGCTATAAAATATAAAAATTCTACTATTAATTTTAAACTATCTAATCTATAATGTTTAATTTGATTATAAGTAAGTATATATTATTAATTATTTATATAAGTTACTTATTATATTACATCTTTTTACTCCTATAATAGATGTGTAAAGAAGACTTTAGTATAAGTATATATTTTTTAATAAATGTTTCAATTTTAATTATTAATTAGATATCATCAAAACTAAAGACTATATAGCCAAGTGAAGTATGGTTTCTTAAGAATTAAACTGTTTATTAATAATATTTTATATTATTAACAAAAAGCAGATATTATTTAAATTTCTAGTAAACACTTCAAATTCAAACTGATTAATTTAAGTTGCTAAATATAGAAGTATAAATGTTAAGCAAAGCATAACCTTTATATATTTTGATTACTATAGCTGCTATATATTCACAAAAATAATATTGATTCAATGATTTTTTTTAAGGACCTTACTTAATTATTAATAAAAAAATACAATAAAATTAAATAAAATAGAGTACACTCAATATGTATATTCAAATATAAGGGTTTTGATTAAAAAAGTTAAATAAATACAATTGTATTATTTTATTTAATTACTATAAGCTTGCTTTTGATAATTATTATATTATTATTTGAATAATTATTATATCTTAATATATTATTAAAAAGGTTATAATATTAATATCTACCGGATCAACATGTAAAATGGCTTGTATAAGAAATAATATTTAATATAGATTCTATTTAACTATCTTTATTTAAAATTAAATTAATATTTTATAATTTGATCTATAAAATATTAACTATTGTATTATAGATTCATTGATTAATATAATAAATAATTATTTGTTATTTTTTTATATTCTATAAAATATTATATTATTAAAGTTTAATTTAATTTTGATTTATTTTAATTAATATAAATATTAATATTCATTATAAAAAAAATTAATAATAAAATAAAGTATCAATAAAAAAATTATGTTTTATTTATATTATAAATCTGAATCTAAAAATATTAAAAGATTTTTAGATAATAATTTATTGATTATATTTTAATATATAAATATAATTTTGTTATAAAGTTTTTTCAAAATGAATTATATATACTGTATATATTTTTAATTTATATAATTAATTAGTAAAAAATTATAATTTATTTTAAAAATATTAATTTTATATCAATTTGTTTACTTTTTCAATTAATAATATATTATTTAAAATAGTTTTTTATTGATAAATAATATAAATTCTTTTAATCCAATTCTAATTTTGAAAAATAATAGATCTATTTTTTTATTTAAATTTATAAGATAAACAAAAATAAGACAATTTTCTTACTTTTTAAAATTTTTGTAATAATCAATAAATCAACTTTTGTTTTTTTATTTTCAATTCAAGTAACATATTTTTCTTGTTTTATTATTATTATATATATTTAAATAAAATTTGTGTTTTTGAATATTAAAAAATGTGATTTTTTCCATAACATGACAAAAAAACGTTTTTTAATTTAATGATTATAAATAATATATTATATCATATAATATATAATATACAATATGTAATTACATAATAAATGTACTGTTAGAATATAAAGAATATATTTAATATTATTGGACTATAATGAAAGTGTATTTAAAAAAGAAGTATATTTAGAAAGGGTATATATAAAAATTTTTTTAGTATTTGTTAGGAAATTTAAAATTTATATTTTAATTGATTTTAACTTTTATATCTACAGTCTGTATCAATTAAAAACAAAATTTAAAATTTATATTTAATTGATTTTAACTTTTGTATTATCAATTAAAAACAAATTTTAAAATATTTACTATAAAATATATGATAACTTTGAATTTTCTTAACTACTTAAGTCAAAAATATAAGTAAAAATTATTTATATAATTATAAAAATTAGTATTTTAAATATATACTTTAAAATTACTTATCCTTATAATAATATAAATCAATTGACTCTATATGTTAATTTCAATATGCTTTTAAATAAAAATAACTAAACAAAGTAGATTAATGTTTAACTTATTTAGTTTATAAGGTATATATTTTATATATAATGGTGATCATATTTTTTTGAACAACTTTAAATGTGATTTAATAAATAACCAGTGATCGAAAAATTAAACTTTTTTTTTTATTTAAAAATAAAAAACCAAGAGATTTTTTTACATGATTTTAAAAATTTATTCTTTTTCCCTTTTTTGCAATAATTGCCTCGCATCGTGATTTCATCGACCGTACTAAATTCTTTATAACCGTTTTAGGTATTTTTTGTCATTCTTCCTCTATATACATTGTTAAATCACTCAAATTTTGCGGATTTCTTTCTTCCACGTTTCTTTTGACCAGCGCCTACAAGTTCTCAATCGGGTTAAGATCGGGACTATTGGACAGCCAGTCCATTACAGTGAGCACATTTTCTTTGAGAAAACTCTTTGCTTTGTGGCTTGTGTGCTTAGGATCATAATTCTGCTGCAGCCATCAATTGTTCCTCATCATTTCTTTGATCTCAGGGAGTTGTTCTTCGATGATTTTGATGAAAAAATCAGTATCCATGTTACCGGTAAAACAGTAAAGACTTGTTTTTCCACAGATCAAAAATCCACCTCACGAATGAATTTTTTTCCTGTTTTTAGGAACACTCAGCGTCGGTTTAGAATGCTTATACCACTGTGTGATCGTGTTCCGGAACAGTTGGAATAATGTTTCGTCTAAAAATAAAGTCTGGGACCAGTCATCATGAAGGTAGTTTTTAGCCCATTCTACTCTGTTCTTTTTTTACTTAAGTGTTAGCATTGGGACTGCAAGTGGAAGAGAATTTTTGTAACTATGCTTAACAAGATACCTCTGAACTGTATGCCTAGAAACCGTAATACCCTGTTCTGAAAGTTTGTGGACTATATGAACCATAGAAGCCATTGGATTATGCCAAATGTACTGACCTATGACCCTCGAAATATGGTTATTAATTTTATTTGGTCTTCCTGCACCTGGTTTTTGCCTCAAATTGCCTACCTTTGTTAACCTTTTAAGGTTGTAGTATACTGTAAAGCGACTAATGCTAGTTCTCTTTTGAATTTCCCATACACTCCATACACCGTTGTTCCATAAGTGTAAAATTGCCTCACGTTGTTGTTTCTTTGCTAATCGTTGCATTCTAAGATCTATTTCTCCCGATAGGTTCTATATAATTGGTGTTGAAACACTACATACTTTTTCTATACAGCACAATGTTTATACAAGTTGAGGTCTTATATGTAATTGTGGCTTTGCCACAGCACATGATCAAAGTCACATGCGAGGTGTCCAAAAAATTATGATCACCACTGTATGTCATCAATAAAAAGAATAAAACTTTCCTACTAACAAAAGTCAAATCTCATTACCAAATTTATTTATCCAATTTATGGAAACCGTAAATTTGTTAATAAATTTTTGTTTCGAAAATATTCTCAACCATCGATGATTTGTTAAAAGTAATCGAGCAAATAAGTATTTATCATTTTTAAAAAACGTGATATCGATATAAAATTTTATAAATATAAATTCGAAGTCTCTTATATTACAAACTTTTTATTAAATATTATCGTATATTGTAATCAAATTATAAAATTATTGATGTTTATAAGATTCGAAATGATTAAAAATTTAGTAATAAATAAATTCCTATATGTAATTTGATGATGGATAATTATCGCATCAGATTTAGCATCGAAACTGTTACATTATATAATTAATCATAGAAAATTTATAAATGTACTGTAACTCCGAATTATCGAAAATTTGACTTCATTAAATCTGCAGATCTAATTTTGCTTAAGAAAACGCTGTGTTATGAAATTTATGATGTAAAGATCATAGTAATTGCAAGCGAGAAATATAATGATGACAGTGTTAACGATTAACATGTTATATTAATTAAATCTGTGAATATTTAAGCAAAGAATTCAATTCGCTTTTTGAAGATAACCTATACAGCAAACCCTTCACAAGAAATGACAAATTTATCTGACATTCCTCTTGTAGATGTTTTTAAAGGGGTCATTCTGGATCACTTGATGAGGGATGGGTTTTTACGCCGGCCACCGGAGAATTTTTTTATCAAACACAGAGCAAAAATTTTAACATGTGCCGCAGTTACTGGTGGTGCTCTTTTAGGCCCATTTGCAATTACTGGGGCAGTGGCAGCATTAGGATTTGGTCAAGCTGGTATTGTAGCCGGATCCACTGCAACATGGATGATGTCATTATATCGTGGATATGTCACCGCTGGTAGTCTTGTATCGATTTTACAATCCGTTGGTGCCGCCGGCTTAGGTGCTGGAGGAGTCATTGCCGCTAATTTGGGGGGTGGCGTTTTAGGTGGAGCAGTTGCTAGTGCAATATCAAGTATATTAGAATCAAATTCCGATGAGTTACGAGAGTTAGAAACTTTTCTTACCATTAGATGCGAAAATGATGCGCACACAACAATGGTTTTGGATATCAATTTTACTGGTAACGAGGATGAAAAACTACTATCACTTCTTAGAGGGTTTGACTTGGCTCGGCAAGTTGCCGGCTCAAGGGTTGGACAATTCAAATTTATAATTGGAGAAGGATCCAATATTTTGTACAACTTTTTGGTAGATAACTATGGTGGTGATCGTGTTACTTTGACAACGCCGATTAGTTTTTTAAATCTAAATGATTAATGCCAATAATTTGCTATTGCGCGCTATGGCAGCCACAAGTTTTGAGTGAGATCATTGTAGACAAGTCTGATCTATACTGTAGAAAAAAAGCGAAATCTATTTAATGTAACTTAAAATCGCGTATAATCATCGCCGCGCTTGGCAGATGGCAATTTTCACTGTAAACAAGTGTTTTGTGGTTAGAATGAAATCACGCAAAAACTCGATATGCTTGTAGAAGCCTTCTTATTTTATCTTAAAGTTATTGTTAATAATTCTCAGACTAGTGCATATATGTGGTGCGGATTCTTTTATTATTGATTTACTTATTTATTTTTAAGATTATGTTAATTATTTTTTTATTGAAAGCGTGTCAAACCACTAAAAAATAAATGACTGCAGTATGGAGTGTCGAAAATTAATACAAAGACTATTTATGACATTATAACCAATAATTAAAAATAAATAAAAGTTTGACATATTTTATATTGTTAAGAAATTTTTTTTTGTAATCATAAAACGGATAATTAAAAAGTGATACACCATCATAGTCACTATTTTCTCTGCCTTTCTTACCTTCTCGACTTTTTTTGCATCTACTTTCTTACTTTTTTTGCTTTTCTTTCGTATACAATACTTAAAGTAACAAAAAATCATATATTATAATAGAGAGTAACACATACAGTATCTAATAGTATAAAGGAATTTACAACAAAAACAAGTTGCTACTATCATAAAATTTTGGTTTAATATTTTCAAACTCATTAATTACATACCTTTTTTAGCTTATATGAAGTATAGAAAATTAACAAATTGTTTGTACAAGTGTTATATAATATACAAAACTACTAATGCATTTCTATAAATAATTTAATATTTTTTATTTTAAAAAATCATTTTTTAATATTATTATAATTATAGAATTATATTACTAAAGTATTGTATATTTTAAATAATTATATACTGTATATTGTTATAAAAAAATAAGAGTAATTAATTATATAATATACTAAATATTATAATAAGAATAATTGAAATAAAAAAAATAAATATTATTATTAGAATAATTAAAATAATTAAAAGATATACAGTATGGAACAAAAATAATGACACTTTTTATTTTTGTTATTATTTAATAAATATTTATTTAAATTAAATAAAAATAAAAATTT